GACCGATACGCAATGTTGGTCTCAATGATGAAAAGTATTTCATGTCAATCATAGACGATTTTTCTCATTTTTGTGTAGTTTTTATATTGAAATACAAGTCTGAAGCTACATAAAATCTCATAGATTATATTGCCAAAATAGAGAATGAATCCGGAAATAAAGTTAAAAGAATACGATGCGACAATGGAGCTGAATATACAGCATATTTGTAGGCAGAAAGGAATTAAATTAGAATATACGTTACCATATACTCCTCAACAAAATGGCATCGAGTGCTATACGATACAGAACATCTTGCTTTCCATACATTAGGATATAGAGATTTATCGAGATCGAGAATTTTCGGATGTAAAGCTTGGGCAACAGTTATACCTAAGGAAGATAAATTGAGTAAACGAGCTTTATGTACAAGGATGGTTGGCTATAGTAGAGTTGGCTATAGATTATGGGATCCAGAGAGCAATTATATAATTATTTCTAAAGATGTGACAAATGACTACAGATATAATGAAAACACGACAAAAAAGGTGAAAGAAAACACAAACTAGTACAGAAGGAAGAAAATGATGTAGATAAAGAATCAGCTGAAAATGAGAATGATCATGAAATGCGAGATGACGAAACAAGAGATGCTACTGAAGAAATACAAGAAATGAAGAAAATGAAGTAAATAGAGAGGTAAGATGTACACGATCAGGAAGAATAGTTAAACCTCCAAATCGTTTTGAAACAAACGTTGTATATTGCACGTTAGCTCAAGAAAAGGCCATGCTTTATTGTTAGATGCCCCAAATAGTTATGAAGTTGCTGTCAAAAGTGAAGATTGGAAGAAAGCAGTAGATAAAGAGTTGAATGCTTTAGAAAAACTAGAAACATGGGAAGAATCAAATTTACCTGAGGGAAAACAGGCAATAGATACGAAATGGATTTTCAAAATTAAAGATGATGGAACGAAGAAGGCGAGATTGGTTGTAAGAGGTTTTCAAAAAAAGAAAGAAGATTATTTTGATAGAATTTATTCGCCAGTAGCAAGACAGTCAAGTGTAATGTTGTCTGTAATGTTAAAAATGTTTTTATTGAAGGCTGTAAGAGAAGATAAAAGAATACGTCAGCTAGATATACCAACAGCATTCCTCAATGGGAAAGTAAAATCAGAAGTATATATTAAAGTACCACCTAAAGCCTGGGTTCCGAACCTGGGGGTAATTACCCCTCCGGGTACCCCATCAGCCATACTTCGGGGGTAACAAAGAACCTAATTATTTGGTCAAATCTAAATAATAAGAAAATACTATATAATAATACTACTAAATAGAGCATGCGCTCCTTCTTGCTAGCGAGCCCGCGGGGTGCTGAGTGTGGGAAGCGGGGCGAGATTTTTTCCTGATGATGACATTATTAGAGACGAAGATGTAGCGGCCAAATTGGAATTTCTTGGACTGATGATAACATTTTAAAGTCGGGGTAAAATCTGTTTTCCTAATAGGTTACAGGGGTAGCAGTATTGGAAAGGTTCGGAAACACTGACCTAAAGGATTGAAAACAGAAGAAAATAAAGTTTCAAGACTGAAGCGTTCATTATACGGTCTTAATGAATCGGCGCTATGTTGGAATGAGAGGTTAGATACTTTTATGAAAGAAAATGGATTTTGTAGGTCAGGTCATGACTCTTGTCTATATTTTAATGATAATTGCTGGGTGATTATATATGTTGATGACATTTTAACGATGGGAAATCATAAATTTATATTAGAAAAGCTAGCGGAAGAATTTAAAGCTAAAGATATGGGTGAGCTAAGTATATATTGAGGTATGGAAGTAACAAGAGACAATGATACAATGATTATAAAGCAGACGAGAATGTAAGACAAGATTTTAGCTAAATTCAATATGGCAGAATGTAAAGGAGTCAAAACACCTATGGAAACAAACTTTAATGTGAAATTTGAGGAAAATTAAAATAAAATTGATGTGCCATTTAGACAACTTGTAGGAAGTTTATTGTATTTATCTATCACTTCTAGACCTGATATCACATTTCCAGTCTCATATTTGAGTAGATATTTAGATAAAGTTAGTGAAGAGTTATGGAAAGCAGGTAAAAGGATACTGCGATACCTTATAGAAACAAAAAACAAAGGTCTATTATTTCAGAAAGGTGATGGAGAATCAAGTCTTCTTGGATATTCCGACGCTGATTGGGCTAGCGACATAGCAGATCGGAAAAGTAGTAGTGGTGGCATAATACGGTTTTCTAGTAAACAAAAATGTGATGCTCTGTCTACAGCAGAGTCGGAATATTTAGCAGCAGGTAGTACAGTTCAGTGGTTGATAAATTTAAAAGGAATTTATGACGAAAAGTTTAGGTAAAGAAAAAATGATTATTTAATTGCAATGTTTATCTGTTAGTTTTATGTAGGTATGATGTTAATTTTGTGTTTATTTATATATTAAATGTTGTTATGAGTTACGTCGTCATATAAAGTAAATTTAACCATCATGTATACTGTATATTGAGAGGGGGTGTTAGGATGCAATATTTGTTTATGGTAAAGTTTGAAGTAAGTGAAAATAAACGAGTTGTCACAGCGACACTGAAATAACAAGATGGGTTTTATTAAAATAAGATTTTAAACTACCCTTTTATCCAATTTCCAACTATATTTAACATTAATGAAAACCCTGTGGTCCGGGTAAGGCTCCATTATTTTTCCTCGACTCGCCAATGCCTCTCGATAAAGCCTCGCAGCTTCACTACCATTGCCTTGGGCCACGCCATAATAATAATGCATCTATGCGTATTGACTATAGAGACTCATAATTCATTGTACTGCACAAGAACAATCCAAATCACTGAGAAATATAAATAAATATAATTATAATCCTCCCAAAAATGTTAGGAAAAGAATTAATGAAAATCAATAAGTTTGATACCTGATATTTTTGTCATTATTTGGTTGATTGACAAAAGAAAAAATAAGTGTCCATTATTTTTTGATAATGACACGGACTAAATAAAAATCCGGTTACTTTACCCCGCCATCATAGGGATGATGGCAAAATAAAAGTTTACCATTTGGTGATGTTGTGTTACTGTCGACGAGTATGGTTCCTGTTGGACTCAAGGTGTTAGGGGATAGGATGAGGAAAGAAAATCAACTCTATAGAGTTGATGCCTAGAGGGAGCCTATATGCTCCCTTGCATCAGTCGTTCGGTTGTCCGGTCGATCGAACATCAATTCGACAACTCTTATCAAAGAGTTGTGTAAGATTATGGTGACTTACCTATTATTTACGTAGTAACTAACTATTAAGTAATCTGGTGCCACTATGCATTTTTACCATCCTTTTAACATGAAAAATGGAACACATGGCTAATATTTCTATTATATATATTTATAACAGGGCTAAATATATAAAGTATATGCTAACTCAATAAAAGATGCATTAATTGTTTATCACAATAATAATTTTATTTCAACTCAGATACAATTTGGACAATTTACTCATTGAAATACTATGCGGCAAACCTATTCTACACAATACATTCTCACAAAATACACTTTTAAAATACCTACGCACAATCGGTAGGTACAATACGTAGGTACAACGAGATATCTGTTGGATAAAAAGAAGAAAGTATTTCAAAATTGTAAAAGAAAATGCAATCGAAATTTTATTACAATTTGTCTTTTGACGTGACAACGTCTTAAATTAGGTTGCGGCTGGGAGTCACTTATGAAAAAGTGTAACGCTCGGTAACGTTACGATGAGTCTCTCGTGTTAAGTTTAAGTTTACATGTACAATGTTTTAGTAAACAAAATATATTTCTATAGTTAAAATTTGTGCAATTCTTATTTTCATTCAATTCCTTGTTCCTATTGTGCAATTTAATTATATTCATATCAATAAATATTCTACCGAGAAAAAGACGTTGTCACGTAAAATCTTCGCCCGTAAAACCGACTTTACAGGCAACCATTTTTTTCTACAATTTTTGTAGGTATTGTCTTATTAAAATAATAAATGAACAGCATTATTATTAATATACTACTCCCGGACACATTTATCGGCCCACCTAGTATTTTAAGTTTGACCTATATGGTTTTGACGGTCCCTAGCTAAAATTAAATGTTACATTGAGCAGAAAGTTTTTACGCATTTTTAAGGCTGATTTATTAACATCAGTATTGCGTTTTTTGAAATATATAATTATTCCCACCCTAACTTAATTATATTTTTGCTACAGACCGTTAAAATTTATAACGCCGAGAAAAGTGGGCCGTTAGATGTGTCTGCAAGTGTATTTATTTTGCCAACAGATATCTCATGGCCATTCGGTAGGACTACGGCTAGGACTACGGGGTATGTAAGATACTAGAATCTAGGCGAAGCCACGACGACGTGTGAAATCATTTAATTTTAGATCAAAACTCAGAGGAGTTTCTTTATTTTATAAACATTTATTTCTAAGAAACGAACTTGAAAAATTACCAAAACGATATACCTAATTGACCTTCTTCAACAATGCTCTAGTTACCGAACGGCCTTACAATCATAATTATTTACATAGGTATAAATATGATACATGCGCAATAAATTACTACTAAGTATAGCTGTGAATTTCCTTCACTTCATTAATTAATATGTTTGCCTGTCGATGGCACATTATTCTTACAAAAATTTGCTTCTCGAATTTTTATAACTTCAACAATTGATTAATTCTGCAGTCTCGTATTTGCGGACTTGTACTTACTGATATTACGTCCTGAGCATTATCGTCTCTTAAAATACTTTGTACCATATACACAGAATGAGCAATTCACCACATCGCGGTGATAATGGTCAAGTGTGAGAGACATGCAAGTTATACGAAATACCTACCGTTAAGTTGTCAATGAAAGTCGTATCATAGGTATGTTTTCAATTAAAAGTAATCAAAACAAGTACTTACATAAGAAATAATCTCCATACCTACTACTACCATAAATAATGCCATCTCAACGAAAACTTGACACAACTTTTAATTAATCAAGTATTCATAAATACATTTTTACAAATTTATATCACTAAATACAGGTTGAACAAGAGATTCACAGTTCGTAAACGTATCCTATCTAATAAATAGAAAGATGAGAAACGTTCTTTTGTAGAGGAGGAAAAAGCGTGGACAATGATTAACTTCAATCTTATCTTAGTAACTTAATAACAAAAAATACTTTACTTCTAAACTTAACTAATAATATATACACACATTAAACTTTATTGACATAAAGAAAGCTGAGTCGCCGACTACTTCAGGCGTCACTAAAACTGCTCCTAGTTCAGCAAGTAGAGATACAGGACGTACTACAATGCTATGGATTAATAACCTTTTTTACTCCGTCTGTAAGGTATTGAAATCAGATTATCAGAAAGTATTGAAAACGTATTATTTTACATAGTTAAAACATTGCAGAGACATATTGATTTGAAATGTTGCATGACGTCACGTCTTGGAACAATTTTTACTTAGAAGTGACGTCACGAGCCCCGTCCCAATATTTGCAACTTCTTTTCTTCTCTTTGCACTCTTTTGGTTGATTGACAAAAGAAAAAATAAGTGTCCACTATTTTTGATAATCTGATTGACGGACTTTTATTTTACTCCGTCATCATCCCGATTAGAATAGTCTAATAGGATGATGGGGATGGGGGATAGACCCCACCTAAAATATAGAGAGAAAAAATCTCAATCGCCGGAAAGTGCTAGATAGCTAACTTCTTCGCCTGTACCTACAGTAAAGAATACTTCATTGGAAACAATTTGACACAAGTGTTTTTATATTCTCGGAATGAGTTGGAACCATTATGTAGGTAAATAACAGTCTACATCTGTCTGCCTACGATAAAAGTGTAATCAATAGCCAAAAAAAACATCAATCAACTTAATGTAATAACAAGAAGAGCAAATTGATACGTCAATGGGGACAAATTATTTCATATAGAATGATTCTAGGTATGGTAACGAGTGACACCTAAAGTAGCCAAGGGCGATGAAAGGGTTGCCTAGCTGTTATACTTTACTTACTTAAAAATAACTATTAGGTACTTACTAGCAAGAAAAATAACTGTTTTATTAACGTCCCAAAAATACCAAAAAGAAAAGATCAAGGTAATCATAGTTTAGAAGCGATATGGAATGATTTAAGTATTATGTACCCTAGCCTTACTAAGACCCTAGCGCTCACCAAGGATAGAGGAAAATAACTGTAGCGATCTGTAATCGGTTTGCACCATTACTTATTCATAAACAATCAAAATTCAGTTTTCGCCAATAGTTAGGTGCTTAATTAATATAATCAAAATACGATGATTTCTTAAAAATGTAATGACGATGTTAAATATGTAGGATTACTATTTTCGTAGCACAAAAGAGGGCCTGCAATCCAGGTTAATTAAAACTACCTACATCTGTAAGAATTCTATCTCTAGCTTAATTTTAAACAGAAGTCAGATATTCCGTGATTTCAGAATATACATGTAGGATGTATTATATAAAGTTCTTGACTGTTGTGTTATGTGAATGGGTATAGGGATTTTGTAAAAAAATAACTATTATCTGGTGTCTAGCTTTATGGTTATGGCGGGGTCAATGCCAGTTAGGTTAGCACGGGGGATGAAGGTAAGTTGTTGGAGCAAGGACACATGCCACATTGGATCCTGCGGTACATCCAGCGAATGAGGTAAGATAATGTCTTGGTTATTGATTGCCCTAGTTAGTATCTAGGCATGCGGTCATGGTGGGGTCTAAGCGATGAGCGCCAGTCAAGGGTGGGATGTTGGAGCAAAGACTTTCTACGCACCAGTCAAAAGATTGGTTATATTATATTTGGGTTTATGGATGCGTGTTAGCCATTGATAAGGAGAGTCTAGTATCTAGGCTTGTGATTATGGTGGGGTCTGTGTGGTGAGTGCCAGTCGGGATGGCGCGGCTCGCGGTGGTGATGATGGTGGTGTCTGCGATGGTCTCTGGGATGTGCGTGGTACACATCGGACACCACCATCTCCGAGCCTTCTTTGGGGGCTTCGCGCTCGTGCCGGCGGTGCGGGTGCTTCGCCCCAGCGGCCGCCGTCTCGTGCAGCTCCTCCCACGCCTGTCTGTAGTACCGGTTCAGGCCGCTGCGGGACTCCGACGAGGAGGAGTCCAGAGAAGCGACGGTGTTGCAGTCCGGTGACACGTGGTGACGGTAACGCTTCACGTCTGTGCTATTCCTGCTAGAATGAGATATTGTACACTATAGAGGTCTTCTATGAAATACATGTAAATGACAACGGAAAAATAAATGTGCGAATACTGATGATTTAAAACACAGTATATAATATTATTACTTATATTATTATTGTAATTTTTTGGGCAAGGTTTTCACAGATGATGTAGGTATTTCTGTTGCCGCTTTATCATTAATTGCATGTCATGTGAAGTTCTGGCAGAAACAAGTTGCAACATATGCAGTTTCTATATGGCTTCAGTCTGTTTTAAGGTATGGGGTTTGACCAGGCCGCGATTTCCAGTCCGAGGGAGCTGTACTTTTTTGTGCTTATCTGAATGTTGTGCTGAAAGTGTGCATTTTGTGATTTTATTTCATACTATGTATATACAGGTTTAGGAAATTTCATTCGTGCGTTGCGTGAAGCTTATCTTAGTTTTGTTTGAGACCGTGACAGTGACTATCAAAGTTGCGTGCTCTTGTTTGGTGCTCATCGGCTGTGAGTTTGCTACGCGGAATGGCACAGTGGCTACGTGATATGTTCGGAAGTATAGTATCAAAGTATGGACTATAAATATAAACTATAATGGATGTGGTGACAACCATGACTTTTTTGACTTGAAGAAGTTAATGGTGTTTTTGAATTATACCTTATCCTTTGTTACTACATTGAAGATTTCTTTAAGTACCTAGTAGTTTTTTGTTTGGATTTAGAATGACTGATAAAATATTTGATGTTTACGAAGTATAGAATGTTTTGTCTAGCAAATGTAAGTAGGCGTTGGTGACTGATTTCGTGAGTTTAATTAGTCCTTACATTAAAGTTTAGGCATCGAATTGTTTTTAATTATTATCGACTCAAAAACTGCTTACCTTTATGATTAATATAAAACAAAGTCATCTTTCTAATATAATTAATGTATTTATGTGATAAAATATCGCTTCAGATTATTCGACGTCGACGTCATCTCAAATTTACATTTAGAAACCATTTCGGTGTAGGCTGCTTACCTTAAGCCTCCCTGGTAATTAAACCCATCAACCTTAGTAAAGTTCATCTTCAACGCATACTGCAGTTTTAAAATATGTTAGTAGCAAACGTCCTTTTTCGGGTAGGATGCTTTTGGTTTAAGTACAGCGATTCCACGTTAAGCAATCACAAAATGTCAGAAATTCTCCAACCACTTAAACGTATTTTGGTGAATTCCCGGCAGGTTAAAAGAGTCGTTTACTGATACCTAGTTCATCTATATCTTTAGTTTCATTAATACGTATCGTGCAAGCCACAATGCCACTCGCGTATGTACCTCAAAATATAAACGCACTCGCTATAAGGGGTTGGAGAAGTGTCCCGCGCGGTGCGGCGTTCGGTGCGCGCGTGCAATCTCTCGCCGTCCCACCTGCTGGTCGGGGAATGGTAGCGCCAGCAGTGTGTACCAGCGGGAGGGCAGCTCGCGCGGCGGCGCCACCTTGCGGGGCCCGCTGACACAACCGTGCGTTAGACAACCGACTAGCCGGATCCACAGCAAACGATCCACCGCGCTCCCGTCCGACCTTTTCATGAAGCGCGCTCCTGCCACGTGCGATCGGAGCGCGGTGGATCGTCTTGTGTGGATCCGTCTATTATATAGTGCGATCCAAACTTTATAGCATTCGTGAAGTTAGCACCCACGTGCAGGTGTCCGTTCAGTGACATCCCGCGCTTATCCACTTCATCCTTTATTTGGTTAGTGTGCAGCGACTTGCGCTAACTACACAGCCGCCGTTAAGTTTGAATTGCTTTCTACTTACAGCACCCACAGAACACCGACTAGTTATGAGTGTTTCATTCTTAACGGACCGACAAGGTGGACAGCTCGGGTAGTCGATCGGTCGGTTAGGAATCCTTGTGTCTCGTTATGAATACAGTTGTTCGAGAAACAGATGTTGGAACGACAAAAATCATTCATAATGAATAGGTATGTGTGCTGTTTATGTCTTATTAAATGATTAAGGACTAAAAATTACGTACGTACCTACATACCAAAAAGCGATATCTTTCTATGTAAATATTCAGAAAAAATATATAAGTGTATACTATAATTTGGCAGTAAAAGTGTATGATACTTTGGAATCAGGGTGTCAATCGCCATTGCTATGGCTATCGCTATCGCTTACGATTTCATTTTATCATTTCTGACCCCCGAAGGTATTCAAATACCTTACCTTATTTTTTTTGATTTAGAATTTACAAATGCAAAAACAAAAAAAACGAGCACGAGGCATTTTAAAACCATTAGCGTTCAGAAATAAAAAAATTAAATCGTCAGCCATAGCGATAGCCATAGCAATCTCGTTAGGCAACTGGCCCCCAGTTATGGACAAGTTTGGTCATGGACTCCGTATAGCTGATGTTAGTTCACCTACAATGTTAAAGACCGGTGTTTCATTAGATTTACAGTAAACAACCTAGTTATAAATCAATATGTAAAAGACCATAAAAGTAGTAAAGGTTACATGACGTTCAAGTTATTAGTGAAAATATTTTGCAACTTACAAATTCTCCGCCTGGTCGTCTTAAAGTATTTGACTATTACCACTTATTTGTAGAAAAACATCACAGTTTTTCCTGAAAAACTAGCTACATCTCACCTCCCGGATGGAATCCACCCAGCCCAGAGTCATTGAACTAAGTAGCCAAGTAAAAGACAGTCTTCCTTATGATAAATAATGAATGCATACGACAGATAGACCGAGCCGATCATAGTTTTAAAATACTTTCAAAACTAATATTAGGGGTTCTGCATGCATTTATATTTTAAGGTACTCAAACACCGAGGTAGCATGGTCTCCTTTAATTTTTGCACACACGCAATGATCACAATCACGTAAAAATAGTCCCCAAACAATAATAATTGATTTGTAGAATATAGACATTAGTAGTATGAAATTTATAAATTTTTACCTAGTTCAGGGTTACCTGAACTTAATCAACTTATTTACTATTTTTGTAGTACTAATGGCAGTGATGGCAAATTATTAGACACATTGTATCTCTCTCTGTTTTATGTAGCTAGGTAGATAGTATTTTGATATGATACTTGTTCCACGGTAAATTCACACAAGCATCTCAACAATGAGTAAACGAAATCCAATATACTTCAAGTATGATACCTGTCTATATCCTATCTGATACCGCTTGGACCGAATGATTTTATTTTGTAGTAAAATTTTCTTTAGATCAATAAAAAATAATACATCAAGTTTTATGCTTAAAGTAAAAATTATATATACTTGACGTAGATACTTAGTACTTTCGGGTAATGCGAATTAAGAAACAATTTCGGGCCGATTTGAGTTACATGGAATGTGATAATTACCTATTTGATTCCCCGACAATTTCAAAACGCGAATCACAACTAAATAAACAAGTAGGGAATGTAAAATCATGATTAAAATCTACATAAAGCCAATACCTAGTCTAAACTTTAGACTATAAGCAGGTCTATCTTTTGATTAATGTATAACCATTCCGTGCATTTAAAAGGAACAAAAAAACTGGAAGATGTTTGGTATTTCGATTTTCTGTCAAAGTGGACATAGCTTAGATGTGTGTGTAAACATGAGTACGGCTCACCTCCTGACTAAGATGACGATGGTGGTTATCATGGCTATGAGGAAGACCAGAGCCCCGAAGGCGCCCAGTGCGACCACGGCGCCAGTGTTGAGCCGCGCGCCGATCGTTTCCTGCCGCTGCCCGTCCACTGATTGGGGCACGTTCACGCGTGGAGTCTGCTCGGCTCGGAAGTTGTTCCCGCTGCCTACTACCTGGGGGAAACGAGAGTTCATTTGTTTATATTGAGACACCCTTGAACAAAGGTCCGAGCACGAGATTTTAACAGCTCCGTAACGAATCGCATCTTCAAAGTTTCTTTCAAAACTTAGCAGCGCCCCCTATCGGATGTAAGAACAAACCAGCTTTTTCCAAACAAAATTTGACGACTACTATACCTTACGGAGCTGTCAAAATCTGGTCCTTGGGCTTCTGTGCATTGGAATTTACGTGATATTTGTGTAAATATTTTGAAAAAATGTGCCCAATATCTCAGCTTTATCTTTGTGATGATAAAGGCCAGCCTAAAAGGATCCCAAAATCAAGAATTATGTAAATTCTAAATGCGTGTGGATTTCTGGAAACATAAGCACTCATTCCTTTAGTAACTTAATAGCCAATACAAATACAACAGCACCAGCAAGGTAATGATTTTTCACGGTGATCATTAGTAAGGAGGAGTTTTCATCCCGAATATCGGGATAATTAGAGCAATTATTCGCTGTGCCCTACTCCTCTTGAAAATTATGCTAGTAATTGGGTACTGCATTACACACTTGGCAAATGCATTTCCGCGCGTGGCTTTGGTTACGAGCATTTAAAGTCTTCCTCCACCTTAACTTTGACATGTGTAATCACGGACAAGTCAAGGAACAGTGTCGCATAACCCACTATTTGCGACTTTCACTTGTGCGCCATTCCGACCGTGACAAGTTCCTAATATCGGTCTTTCAACAATTACTTATCACATACTTGGCGACCTACAACACTCAAAAAGTGAATCGTTCCCCTCTTGTTTGTTACGCTACACTTTTAATAATCATACGCTGCCTTGTTTGTAATGAAACTTAATTACGAAACCGAAAATTTCTCTTTTTTTAGTGTTTCGTACTCCACCTGCGTTATCCTGCCGTCCGTCAGGGCAATATATATTTTGAACCGTAACAGTAGCTAGACAGTTAATGTTTCAGTTAATACTTATATTAGCGAAGATGGAAATCAGTAAGGGCATATCCCATTAAAAAGTCGTAACTAGACTACGTATAAGGTAATAATCAGTTTTTTTTCTGCGTCGATTAGTCTGGGTCCGGTTGCTCCAAGACAGTATTTTGAAAAGTGTGTTTAATTTTTTGGGTATAGCTGCCCACAAAACGGCGTATTTATACTGTTTGGAGATACGACTAGTAGAAGTTAGTGTTATAAATAAAAAAAAATAGCTACACTGTTCCTGTTTATATGCACCACTGCTGTTACGACCTCTTTGCGGGATGCATTTTGTATACTTCCTTGCTTAAGACATTTTAGCGGTTCATATTTTTCTAAGAACAAAGAATAACTTCTGAGATAGGTACTGCAATTTCATGGGTGATTGAAATCAACCCAAACCATGATAAAACCATATTACTGGCATCAATATTTTGTACTATGTGGTTAATACGAGTCACGAAAAGAGTTATACCGAATCCAGTTTTATTAATGAGCCTGAAGCATCGAGACGCAAATTTACCTTCATATATTTTATCAACGAAGGCGAAGGAAGGCGAAAGATTTGCCAAAAATTTCTTATTGATACCCTTGACATCACTCAAAAATTTATTTTGTACACTGTCACGCAGTTGCCAAATCTGATGAAATACCCTAGATATTCAAAATCAAATCATTGAAATCTTTCATTTTATCGTTACCGCTTTTGCCATCATACTATAGCCGTAAAGATTCACAAAAGCTTTATTTACAGGAAGAAATTAAGAGTATTACCAATTTATATTCCGCCTATGTTGATAACTGTAAGCAAGGCGAGACAAAACCTATTTCTTTGAAACTATTTTCAGCATATTTGTAACAAAAATTTTAATATAGGATTTCACGTGCCTTAAAAAAACAAGTGCCTCTTATGTAGTGCTAAAAATTACGACGTCCTTACAAAAGAAAAAATTGAATAAATAAATGCACATCTTAAAGAAAAAGAAGATTCATATTACATCAAAATTTAAATACAAAAGACAGAAGTGTAATTTGCTCAAGTTTTGATCTCCAAAAAGTGCTAAATACACCTCATGGCAAAAATATATCTCTCTACTACAGCAGAAAATTTTCCGTATATAATTTAACTATTTACGAAAGTGGATGCTCACAGAGGGGCAAATGAAATTGCTACGATTTTGCTAAACTACATAAAAGAAGTAGACAATAGAGGCTGTATCAAAACTTTGCTTTGATTACCTTTAAGTGTTTTTGTTGTTATTGTAGTTGACATATAGATTATAATTATTGATCTCAAGTTTTTAATTGACATCAAACATGTATATGTTTGATGTCAATGTATAATTATGGAGATTACAATATTATTATTATTCTCATTTAAGCAGATACTCTTAAGTAATTAAGTTTTGGTTTGCTCACCCAAAAAGATTTTACCTGTTTGTTAAAATCATAATTACTTTGTAATTAATCATAATTTTTTAATCATATTACTTGTTAACTAGAGTAGAAGTAAGGATTAATTAGTTAATTACATTGAATATTATTTTTGCTATTGTTTTTTTATGTTTTCCAATTTTCATGAGGTACCGGCTTAATGCAGTAATTGAATATGAATATTCCTGCCTATTGAAGTCCATTTTCAACAAATTGTGCCAATTTAAAATATCATTTCAAACATGTAACTTTTTAAAAGTTCTATAATTTACGTTCAGAAAAAAAGCTTACGACATTTTATTAAGATCATTGGGTTTCTAGAGGTTTCAATTATGACCAATGTTCTAACCATGGTATACATTATGAATGTGTTTACACCCCGTTCCTAACAGAAAATTTAAAAGAACACTTGTTACGACCTTTTTTGGGTCAGCGAATTTCTTATAATTTTCTGATTTAGTACAAACATCATCTCGAGATACTAAATTTTTGAGGTCTGGAATTTCTGTATACAATGGCTGTACTTGAATAACCTTATTTTTAGCAAAAGAAAGTTATTGGTTTGCAGTACACTCAATTCAGGTTTTTATTCTATAGTAATGGTGTAAAAATCATGTTCAAAGATATGATCGAATTTCCTTATTTTAAGGTTACACCCTTCTTGTTTTCCGTCATCGTTAGTTATTTGGTAATATAAATACTGATAATAATGGAAAACATCTACAAAAGGATATATAAATTATATTCCGTAGCATTTCTTATATGTAATAGGTTTTTCATCCCAACATTGTTGATATTCCTTAGATATGTACAAAGCAATTTTCTTCCACCTCTTATTCAAAATAATAAAAATATCTAAAAAATAAAGCTCTATTTATTAGAGTGTTATTGTTGAAACTGACCATAAGACGAGAATAATATCTTAGTTTCCATTCTCCTTTTCTGTCAAGTTAGACGGGAGACAAACGTGCATCCGGCTACCATTAAAAAATAGGATTGTATACGAAATACTTACTTGGTTCTCTCTCGGGTGGCTAGCGACAATGATATGAGGCACGTTGCTAGTAGGCGACTCCTGCGCATCTCCCGCCGTAGTAGTTTTTCTCTCTGGAGTTCTATCGTATGGCTTCGTGGTCGTCTTCTCGGCTCGTGTGGTGATTTTTTCCGTTGTGGTTTTAGGGGGACGTGGACGCCTCGTGGTTTCTGGTGGCGCAAATGGTGTGGGGGACGAGAGGTAAGGGTTCACGCGCCTCGTCGGCAGGACTAGCCTGGGAGTGGTGGAAGGTGGAGCATGTGTGGTGGTTGGAGGTGCTGTCGTGGTTGTGGAGGTGGTCGTGGTTGTAAATCGTTCCTCGGCTGCGATAGAATAAAAAAAAACAAATGAATTTCTTATAATAACATTTATTTAAGAATTCTGCCACCCATAAACTCACTTCTGACATACGAAATAAAGTTACTTCGGATCATCATCATCATCAACCCATGTTCGTCCACTGCTGATGCCAATGATAATATTTATTTGTTGAATGGGGACTTTTATAATAGAGAATTTTCAAAAAAATAGCGATTATAGATAAGTATCAACGAATATGTTATTTGTTAGTAATATTTATATATATATATATATATATTCATTTTTAAGCAAGTGCAATTTCCCCTAGAGATAAGATAGATTTTTAAATCTAAAGAAAATATTACAATAGGCTAGTTGACTCATGTCAAATTGCACTATACAAATGTTTATTTCTTATAATTTTTGGTATGAGGCACCTAAATACATCGATTTCACTTCATAAAATTAGAAGATGGCTGTAGTAATTTAATTTAAAAATAGTTTTTTAAGTCTATGCTTTTTAAACACTAAAAACACTGCCCACCATGATTGTTCAACATAATAGCAAACAACTAAACGTCATTGTCGTGATACTGTGGTTTTTTTCGTCCGAATAAAATATATCTAAAAACTCTTTTATCTTGAAGAAAAGTTTCCGTTTATTGGTTTTCTTGACTAAATTAATGCTGGACGCCGGATTTGTGAAAGCAGATACGACAAAACTCTTTGACTTAGCAGGTACATTCATAACCTTAAAAATTGAAACCACAACATTTGTGGAGTCTTTAACGATGTGTTTCTTTATTCTCGTATAATAATTACTATATTTATTATGAAATCTATTATAAATCATGGTTTTGTAATGTAAATTCAGATAGGTTATATCCTAGGTATGTGCTTGCGAGTGTTTGTTTACTATTTTGTTCCCGTCATACCATAGATAATCTATAGACTAAAATGGCCGACAGCGTTTTTGTATGTCCATGAAAAATCTATTTTCAAATTAAAGATTTGTAGCTCTCTAGGTAAAAAAAATATACAATACATTTTTTTCGGTCTAATTGAACAATTATTAAGCATTTAAAACATATTTCCAAAAAGTGTCAACTAGCCTATTCCGCCTGGATAGCGGAAGATGTGGAATTTTTGTGTTATGGATTTTTTCTAGTAATATTTTCTTTAAATGTTATTAGTTGTTTCTCACTTTAACTAGTCATAACCATCCTACATACTGCAACTGAGCCAAATGTGAATCTTACCATCGCAAACTGGTGTAGGCATAACCCACAGACCAGAGTCGAGACATCGCAGCCTCCGTGTACCCTGCAGCTAGAACCCTCACTGGCAGGAATAAATCTGTGACCGTAGAAAACACACTCGCGTTGTGTTATATCTCAAGACGCGTGTTCGAAAGGAATCTTACCGCGGCAGACTGGTGCAGGCATGCCCCACAGAGAAGTTTCGAGACACTGCAATCTCCGTGCGTCATGCACCTGGTATTCTCGCTGGCAGTACTCTGAGGCTGCGCCGAACACGCTCGTGTTTTAAGAAATCATCAGATGTGTGTTGGAAAGGAATCTTAACACGGAAAACTATCAAGTCTTCTCAGTATATGTGGACCCTGCACTTGGTACCCTCGTACTCATGCCATAAGTACTCTGGGACTGGGACAAATACGTCCTCATTTTGGCACATTGCTGAACGTGCGTTTGAATGACTCTTACCACGGCAGACTGGTGCAGACGTGTCCCACAGGCCAGTGTCAAGACACCGCAGCCTCCGTGCGCCCTGCAGTTGGAACCCGCGTTGGCAGGAGTACTCTGCAACTGCGCCGAACACGCTCGCGTTTTGGGACATCACCACGCGTCCGTTAGTCATAGTCGGCGGTTGCTCACAATGCACCACTGTCAAAATTAAAACTTATTACTTGATTTAAGGATCGAGAGCTCCGTTGGTGCTTTGGAAAACACGTAAGTATGTATGTTGGTACAAGTAAGTATGTATGAACATCGTAACAATAACAGTATAATTCCATAGACAAATGATTGGTCTCGCTGAGTGAAGCGAGACCAATCTTTCATCTATGTATAATTCATTAGTTATTTTATCGTACAATAATTAAGTTTTAAACAGTTTTTTCAACATTTAAGTATCAGTTTAAGTCAATTTATCATTTAATGAGTTCTACCCTAATACACTGTATTGTGGTAGCCGTTGGGCTTATGACAATGGGTCAACTATATATGTAGGAAGCTTGTTTCCCAGCTGTAGGAACATTAAAATGCTGATTTAGATATGAAAAAACTTACCTTCACATCTGGGCGGGGGGCCGTTCCAGCGTTCGTCGATGTCGCACACGAGCCTAGATCGTCCCACCATCTCGTACCCTTTGCCGCAGGAATACTCCACGTGGGACAGGTAAGAAACGGATCCGTTTAGCAACTTGTACGACCCGTGCGGGATCTCTGCTGGGTTTCCGCAAACTATACCTACAACAACGTAATGATCCATCAAATAACAGAAGCATAATTATGGAGCTCCGTTACTGTACGTGAAAGTATCAGATATTCGAAAAATAAACTAATCTGTAATCGTAATATGGGGTGCATTAGTTAGGCGGTATTTCTTTTGCACTCCAATGCTACTTACTTTTACAAACAGGCGGAAATTCGTCATAGAAGCCTGTGTCGAGGCAGGTCCTGGTCGTAGGCCCTACTAGTAGGTGACCCTCATCGCAGGAGTACTCAACAGAAGCTCCCACGTCGAACAACTCGGCCACCATCGTCGAGTTAGGAGGCTGCTCCGGTCTGCCGCACGCCTTGGGCTCTGTGAGACATGAGATCAATCAACCAAAGAGAATTTTACCCCAACCTTATTAATGCTGGCTTAGCAAAGAGTTCACAAACATAATAAAACGATCGCTTATTGCTACAATCGCTGTGCTAATTTTAAGTTCGCCCGATGTTTGAAATATCCGGATTTTGGTTTTCGCTTTAGCGGATCAGTTTAGCATCCGTTCTGTAGGATAAACTTACGGTGCTGGCAGATGTAGTTAAGTCTCGCTTGACAGTCAGTGTCCGCCCACAGCCAGCCTTTGCTGCCGTCGAATCTGGCGCAGCCTTCGGTGCCTCCCGGGGCGTTCCAGAATGACACCGTCAGGTCGTTCCCGTTGACCCATTTCCAGTTGGAAGGGTCCCGAGGGTCTCGTACTGCCCCCATCCAGTATTGGCTGCTACTGTCGCTCCTACAATACATTCTTTCGTCAGTTCCTCATAAATGCAATATGCTGGTATTGGTACTATTATAAAGACTCGTATTGCAAATCGCATTTCAGTTGGAGCAAAAAGAGATTAGACAGTAGCATATGTATCAAAGTTTTTAACATTTATTCTTATTAAATTTGCATTTTATATGCTAAAATTTGCATGTCAGGTATGAAATCTTGCACATCAAGCAACCAACATCTGAGATACATACTTATGATGCAAGAACAAAAAGCTATCTTAAAAATTCAGAATAAACAAAGTATGTAACATGTTTATAGTGAGTTGTATTATTACTTGACGAAGTTAACTGTAGTAATACAAAATATGTAAGCTATCTGTATTTATTATTAGATTAAATTTACAGGAACTAAAATATAATATTATACATATTTGTTCACATAATGTCATGATTATCATTCGCATAAAGCATATTATATAACACTGTTTAATAATTATTAAAAGATTGGTGTGCGTTAAAACATTTATGTAAAAAAAAACAAAGTGCGCTCGGTCTTGCACCCACTGGGCCTCAATAATTGCACATTACCTACACGATTACTGGACCTTCAAAGAGGGACTTACCAAAACGATAAGACCTATGGGACCTGTTTTCTTATTGGATTATTTGGCTAAGTTTTTTGGAACGGTACAGTACAGTCGCGTAGAAAAGTAACGTAGCATAAGCGTAGTGTACGCGTGTCGTCTGAACCAGTGTGATCAAGGCCTAAGGACTTTAGATGCGAATGCTGTCTACGGAAATGGTAGGGAAGTGATGCGAGGATGTAAGTAGGAGTACTATTACGATGTGATTGCTCGCATATCCTTACAAACTGACGCGTGGCGCACATGGAGATGTAGCAATTGCATGTCGTACATTAATATGTTACCGGCAATCTGTATAATTTGTACAATACCTACGCAATGTATTGAATGCCAAAAACGTCGAGGCAATGAATGAAATTCATTTTATAAATGAAAAGTATTCATTTTATACTTTGTCTAAGTATTCTATACAATGGCAAATGAGCAGTCGGCTTTTTGGCAAGGTGTGTAACAGAAGAAAGCGCGTCAAATTTTCCTTGTTTTATTTGTCTATTGGCTATAATTATTTATCTTTTACCTATCAGGTGGCTGGAGCTTCGCCGGCAGCTGCCGAGGCAGGCTTACTTTGCTCGCTCGGCTCGCGCTAAGTTTAGTCAACGACACTAACTTAATCTAACCCACTGTAAGTTGATCGAACGTTCATTGGTCTGTAATTCATTCGGTGAGAATTATAAAATCTGTCCATCATTTTATATGCAACTGTATAGGTTAGATTAGGTTAGGTTTGAATAAGTACATGCCAAATCTGTTTATTTATAAATACCCGGTGGGCCAGCTGGTACTCTATACAATCCCTAGGAATTGTTTACATTACCTGGGCAAAGTATAAAATGGAATATATAAAAATATTTATGATATTCCATACATTGCCTAGACGCTTCAGGCATGCTATACATTGCCTAGGTATTGGTATAGAATACCTGCATTATACAGATTGCCGGTGACATAATATACCTATACTCATCAAAAAGTCTAAGCAACATGAAAGTTTTTAGAACTTATGACCGATTTTTAACATATTTAATACTTATATTATTTTATTAATAATAACCAATTTTATTTATTAGTGACTAAAGCAAGGAAAATGTTTGAATAAATTAAATATTTAATAAATCAGGTCATTTCATAACTATAATATAAAATATCAACTCATAAATATAAATTATGCATGTCCCTTAGATTTTTTAATGTGTGTATTTGCACGCACTTAGATAACATAAACATAAATAAACTAAGGTAAATCACATTTATTAGATTACATAATATATTAACTTTTAAGCGCATTAGTATGTAACCCTTATCTATACTTATAATAAATCTGTACAGAGGTCAATTCTGTACATGAAATATATTTTCAAAATAACTATCAGGGGGTGATTAGTGATCGATACTGATGCCAAAAATGCAATCAGTAAAATTTTTGTCTGTCTGTCTGTCTGTGTGTATGTTCCTTATAGAAACAAAAACTACTCGACGGATTTTAATGAAACTTGGTACAATTATTCTTCATACTCCTGGGCAGGTTATAGTATACTTTTCATCACGCTACAATCAATAGCAGCAGAGTAGTGAAGGGAAATGTTGGGAAAACGGGAGAAGTTACTCCATTTTTTAATCTTCCGTCGCGTGTGCAGCCTTAATGGTTAAAGTTACATCGAAATCATGTATGACGGAAATATTCTACATAAGATTGTCTAAAAAATATCCCGCACAGCATATGTCTATCTTTTATGGTTGACTCACCATAACACGTGTAATTATATAAATAAAGTCATTGTTTATAGCACAAGCCTGAGAACAAAAACTATAGTTTACACTACAGCTCTACATAGAAGCGAAGCGAGGGCGGGCCACTAGTATAAAATAAATCAGACTAAAAATCATGTCAAGTACTATTACACACCTTGCTACACACTTGGCAAAGAAAAATGGACACGGAAACAGTAATGTAAATCAGGGTTGCCATCAAAATAAATGATTTAATTTGAAACTGATTTTGAAACTACTTTTATCTACTATGATACTATAATACAAAGATTCTAAAACTGAAAACAAAATGCTTATGACAAACATTACGTACAGGCCAAAAATAATAAAAAAAAAGTCTAATTACGATACAGGTCTTGTATGGACACCTGCCCCTCTAGCATGACCACCGAAACGGGATATGATAAAGCGATATATCGGCATTAACTGTCAGACTACTATGGAGTTTGACAGTAGTCTGACAGTTAATGTCGATATATCGCTTTATCATATCCCGTTTCGGTGGTCATGCTAGAGGGGCTGTAACATAATATAACTTTTTAATCATAACGATATACGTATACAACCTCCAGCTAGACCAAGGAGTTTGAACCTCTACTTTAAAAAGGTTTCAATGAACGAGTCCGCGACGACGCAACACGCATGCGCAATCGATGTTTGCACCTTGGCGCCAACATTTAAAAAATCTTTTGAATATTTAAACAAAGTTTGGTTTTGTTTGTAAAATACATAAGTTTTTGTGTAAAAACATGTCTGAAAGCGGGGATAGTGGTGATTGTACACCACCAGACATTCTGGAAGCTGCGTCAAACATGACCATGAACCTGTTGCCGGCGAAATCTAGGAGCAACTATAATAAATGTTACCATGAATTCATGGAATGGAAAATGAATAAAAATGCTACATCATTTTCTGAAAATGTGTTGTTAGCGTACTTTGAAGAGTAATCTGAAAAATATAAAGTGTCAAGTATGTGGGTTAAATACTCCATGATTAAAAGTACACTCAATATTTACAACGAAGTTGACATAACTAAATATAGCAAACTGATTGCATTTTTGAAACGAAACTCACAAGGATATAAAGGGAAAAAATCCAAGACTTTTACAGCAGAGCAGATAAATAAAAGAAGAAGCCCCAGACACATTATATCTCTTCACAAAGGTATTTTAGTTGTTTATCAGTTAACCATGTACATTTTTTTGTTAATATTGAGTTAATTTACCGTAATATATATATATATGAGTTGTTACAGATTGCACTAATTTTTGGTATAATGGGTGCTTGCCGACGGCAAGAGTTATACAACATACAATTCAAAGATGTTGAAGTCTTCGAAACTACACTATTGATCAATATAAGTAAAACTAAAACCAAGACGGACCGCTCTTTTACCGTTACTGGGAAATATTATGAACAATGCAAAAAATACATAGAGCTCAATAGAGCTACGACCAACTGAGTGCAGCAATCCCAGTTTTTTTCTAAACTATATTGCCGGAAAATGCACGACGCAGAGAGTTGGCATTAACAAATTTGGAGCTTTAGGCAAAGTTATTGCCAGCTATCTTCAACTTACCGACCCCGAATTGTACACAGGACACTGCTTTCGCCGAACATCTGCGACCTTGGTAGTTGACGCTGGTGGAGATATAACGGCACTAAAGCGACACGGTGGCTGGAAGTCAACGACAGTTGCAGAAGGCTATATAGATGATTCAATGACTAACAAGATCGCTGTATCCAATTCAATACTTAACAGTATTGAAAATAACAGAAATGAGGTCAACATTAACATATCCTCCTCCGAATACCTCCAATAACGCTTCCTGTCCGGTTCAAATTCAGTTTCATAATTGTAATATTCAGAACATCAATATAATTATTACAAGTAAAAATAAATTTCTTGTTATATTCAGCGTTTTATTTGCAATATTGTTTTATGTAAGTATTATAGTATGAGAGTAGATAAAGTAGTGTATGACACTGTACAGAACTTGGTCTTATAACACTTGTGTGATACTATAAAAAAACTTGCCTACGGCTCGTTTTTTTAAAACACCCTCGTGTTATAAGAACCAACTATTCCATAAACTACTATAATGTGTAACTAACTAACCTAACTAATGTGTAAACTACTATAACTACTATATGTTCACAATGCATGTGTTTTTACATATCTGTTAAGCGTTATTGTGTATTGATTTTGATGATTCTTATTTGTTTTGTAGCTCGTAATAACATCCTGTGTGCATTTCACTGTAGGTAGATGCAACCCCATGTACAAACAGTCTTCGAATTCACGATGTTTTGTTATTTACTTGATCACGATTATTAATAGTATAGAGGTACCCACAATATCAGTTAAAGATATGATTCTGCTAGGCCAATTATTTTGAGATAGATACCTATTTTAAAACCATGTACCATTATTTTAATTGTGTGTTTATTAAAGTATTTATTATTTATCATGTTCAGATCGGAAAATTATTATTCTTAATTATTATGCTTATTATGACTGCCTATATAGCAGGCACCAATACATGCAGAGAGACAACGAAAATTACTAAGTACAAATTTTTGCTATCTACGGCATAGCTCCACACCG